AACTTACTAAATATGGATACATGACATGTAATGTAAAAACCTTTGAATACTTTTCCAGTCTTTTGAGATAATTTTTATAGTGGACTTTTAGACAGGGCAGAAAACGGGTTCCACTTTCAACGTTTGTTCGTTAATAAGCTTTACATTTCATAAACAGGCTCTTTTGGGGCTGATTAACAAAATACTAAAATTTGGGGAAATTTAAGAAGTGCGTATTTGAGATATAACGCCCTAAACGTTGGGAGAGATGACATTTTGATCAGCAAAAAGACTAAAATTTACCTCGAAGTAGAATTGCTCGAGGTTAGCAGTATTTTGTGAAAAGTTCGAAGTACAACAGACACGAATGAAACACTAAACGTTTTTTTTTTTAACATGAATGAGAGATAAAGAAAAAGATTGCGAAAGTAGCAGCCTTGTCCTTTTTCTGCTCTGTCGGACCTTTAACCTTTAGAAGATTGATATCAGACAACGCCGCCATACAGACAAAACTTTGAGAGAAAAAAGAAGATGGCTTTTTGGTCGTCATCTAATGATAAGTTAAAAATAGATTGTTAATCATTTATATTATCTACTTAACCGAAATACACGACTCTTTTCATTATTTCTTTTTTCTAAATGAAATACCTGTTCCAACCGGTTATAGATCGAATAGTTGTCTTAAGACTCTCGTCGAAAGATTTTCTTCTTTCTTCATTTTCTCCTAATAAAATACCTGTTTGAACCGGTTTAATCGAAGTTTTTTCTTGATATTCTTATCAGATTTGATGTGTAAAGTAAAAAGTTCCTGTTTTGCGTTTGTGCAAATTTTTTCATTGTCGGCACTATCAATTTCATGATTTTTGCGATAATTGCATCTTAGTAACGACCTCTCATCTAGTATATACCGCCACTGGAAACAGCCGCGATTTGGATACAAGATACTACTACCCTGGCTATAAATAGAATGATATATAGTTTTTTATGACATTATCCAATTTATTTACCCGTTTCTTTATGACTTTCAAACGAGTAAATGGACTTGAAGTGTTTTTAATGCATTTGCTATTGGCATAAAGAGGTATTTGACACAAGGCTGTGGTTGAATGAACAGTTGAATAAGGAAATGCTCAACGTTCATTCTTTGTCGAGGGTAACAATGCCTATTTATTATTAACTAATGAATTGCGCCAAGATAAATATGCATATATAAGATCCCGACACACAGTAGCAATTGATATATTAAGGTTTGGTGAAATAGAATGCATCATAAATGTGTTTTTTCAATGAGATTTGAAATAAAGGTGAGTGGAGAGTTCAAGTCGGATTCATAATAAAACTGAAAAGGTTTATAGYATATATATCTGTTTCTTACCTGAAAAAACTATCCATCGCCAGAGAAACAATCCAAAGAATACACTTGAGCAAATCATTTTGTTTTCCAGTTCAGGGATGTCAGAAAATGCTTAATTTCCATTTACCAGCCTCCATTCGACGAGGACACAGTATGTTGCACAGTTCTCGCTCTCCTGTTGAATCCTGTCGTTTCGGCGGTTTTGTTTATATAATTATTTAATTTTTCTTCGCATCGAGTCTTCGTAAAGTTTCTTTTTTCAATGCCACTTCCTGCAGACCTAGTTGAAATCATAGAAGAAAAAATAAAAGAAAGCTGCAAGATAGATCAACGTGAGAATGAACGCCCCCAGAGCGCTTCCACCATGTTGCAAATCATCTCCATTTCCTATATTCTATTTAGACTCGATGACAACGAAAATATACTCTATATTCAAACTTACCTTTCAATGGAAGATCAAATTAGCGAAGCCGATAATTAAACTTTAATAAAATGGGGTATTGCCAAAGAAATGTATATTTTGCGGTCTGATTAGACCAAAAGCTATGAGCGACACTTCTTGTGTAAAGCGAGTGTCAAGCGATCAAAAAAAGGTCTTATCATATGAATTAAGACCCGACAAAATTATCTTTACTTGCAACACTTGGTTTCCAATATTGTTCTTTGGTAAATAAGACTTCAGGCCATCATTGAATTTTGGCTGCGATAATATGATTAAAACAAACGCGTAGCTTTAATGCTCGACGATGAAGACGATTGGCTGAGCATTTAGTGTATTTTAATCCCTGCTTTGTGATTGGTCAGCTCAGAGTTCGTCGATTTTTTCAGATGGCCCGAAGTTACTAATTCTTCTTTAGCCAGAGATTCCCCTAAATTATGGCTGAAACGATATTAAAGATTACTTTTTGTCCGTTTATTTGTGTAAATTGGTGTGAAAATGAAGCAAGATATGTGTGGGCACTCTAGACAAGCTGCCGCATTAGCAGGTCTTTTTCGACAATATTCAAAATTTGGAGAACTGACAATCGACGATTGCTGCCTGTCTTCGCGACGTTCAATCTTGAATGTTGTTTAGCAATTAATTTGAAGTTTAAAAACGACAAAACCGAACTCTTGTTTTTTTCATTACAAACTTCGCTCCAGTCTTTGCTGGTCACCGCAGCAGATGTCTCTGTTAATTTTCACTCAAGACGAAAAGGAACAGTGATGTTATCATTAATAGCACCATGAACCTTGAAAAGCATGTTAATAAGATCTCTAAAACATCTTTTATATTATATTAGGAACATTTCTCAAGTGCTTTTAATTACATTTTTACTAAGATTTTATGGTTCGTGCGTTCGTAACTTCTCGTATAGATAGACGTAACGCAGTTTTGCATTGACTTCCTAGTTATTTAATCAAGCGTCTGCTGTATGTCCTGTATTCGGGAGCAGCTAGGCTAGTGATAGTAACGCTTATATGAGGCACAGGATGTAGAAGACGATGAATATAGAGCATTTATTTTATGAAATAGAAATAAGGAGTTGTTCTGGTAACCTCAGGGATATCCGTAGCGGTAATTCCGTTTTGTGCGACGTTTCGACGGACCTTCGGTCGTCTTCTTCAAAATGAGTTTTCAGTTGTGAATATTCATGTGAGTAGTCCGCGCAAAAAACTTGTGAGCAGCGCAAATATCCCCGAGGTAACCAAAACTATTAATGAGCAACCAGCGAAAAAAAGGCTTGGGGACCATAAGGAATATAGATTATATAATGCCTATATGTTATGTGCCGATTTACACTAGCTCCCTGATGAGCAACGTATAAGGTAATCAACGGCTCTGTGCCCTTTTATCTTAAGGAGCTACAGCGACCATAAATTCCAAGGCGCAATTTACGTTCATGCGATAAGCTTTTATTAGAGCAGCCAAAATATAAATATATAAGAATTGATTTAGATCATTTTTTACTGCAAACCTAGATTATGGACTGATTCCATTATCATTAAGAGAAGCCATGACTAATTTTTCTATTTCCAAACGTAATCTTGAGACATTTCTTTTTTCTTTTTTTAATTAGCTTATCATATATATATTGATTCGGTTCTTAGATATTGAACTTTTGAACTATATTTTAAATAATCGCTTGATCAAATATTATTTATATATTTTAATTCATCAAATTTTTAGACATATATAGATTTTTTTAATTATTATTATTATTTAGCGATTATTCCTCTAGCCCGCTATTGACTCATAGGCCGTGAGGGCGAGATAGCTAATTGTTTTATTCAAATGCAACTAGTCAGTCAAACATTTAGATCCAAACAAGTTTTGAATTAAAGTTAAATTAAATGTTTTGGTTTTCAAAGCCGACACTTTTCGCTACTAGTAAGCTATGACTTTGTAGCTTAGTAAGCTTTAGTAGTAGCTCATCCAATCAGAATGCAGCATTGATGATAGACCACTAGCCGGATTTCAATATATAGACAACGACTGCATATGAGCAATCGCGAGCTTTGATTGGCTACTCTATTAATGGGCTATCAGTTCAGTAGATTGGATCATTGAATCTTGAATGTGTCTCCAAAGACGTATGTTCCTAGTGGATTTGTTGCATCTTTTACTGAGAAACTATTCTTGAAAGTTATACGGGTTAAAGGGATTCGCATGATCATTCTCATGCATTTCTCGAGAAAGACTGGTAACGGCTCGTGAGGCACAGGATTGTGGGGCAGCCGATTTCAGGGGGCGAAGTGATGCGAGGAGCTTTGGATTTCGTTACAATTTCAGACCCAAAATTATTCGTTACAACTGCGCAGAGGCCGTTGTCAATCTTGTTTGAACTCTTCCTCTTCCTTGAGGCGAATCATCCAAATCCAATTCCAAATCACATAAGAATAAGCAACGTCATTTGCAGTGTCATTTTGTTTTTATTTTATCTTACTTTCTCATTTCTGCATTATCTGCAAACTTTTGCCACAAACTAATTATCTTTATAAACATAGTTTGAAGCAGTTTGAAAACAGGCATAGGTTTGAATGCAATAATCTGATAAAATTGAAATATTCTTGAATTAATAAAGTATATGAATTAGTAGTCACTAATATTAGTTTTGAGTACGGGGAAGTTGTACATGTCGACTTACTCGGTCTTCAATTCTAATCAAGTTACTCCAAGTCAAGCTATACTCCTAAAAGCACCGGAGAGAAGAGAAATGGATGAGAATTTCATGATCAGTTATTGAATGTGTCGTCGGTCTTTCTGTATTCCATCCCTGTTTTCAAACACTTCGGAAACCATTTATTTTCTGTTTCACCTCATAGGTCCTTGTTACGCGTAAACAGGATGTCGGAACGTCTGCTAAAACCTGTTTCAAGAGGTTCTCGAAACAAAGGCGCCGATAGGCAAGAAGGTCTCTATCGTTTTTGTTCATTTTTTGAAATAGGCGTATGTAGTCTAACATATGGTGCTCAAGGTCATTTAGCACAACCAAAAAAACACGTGTATAGAACAGCGTTTGCTATTATTGTGGCTTTACCATGGTGTAAAATATATCATGGCAAACGGAAAGTATTTTATTTGTAGAACATTATATATTCTTATATTTATTCAAAAAGAAACTTATTGGCTACGAGTTGGTAAAGCCACTGACATGTTAACTAACAAGATCCCTTCGTTTTAATTAACAGACAAACAGACAGACAGACAGACGGACGGACAGATGGACAGACAGACAGACAGACAGACAGACAGACAGACAGAAAGACATTCAAGAAGGATAAACTGAAACTAGATCCTTTGGCGCGCATTTTAATTTCTGCAAGTACGCCCAACAGACAATAAAGCTGAAAGCACAAAAAGCCAAAAGGCAAGGTTAGTTTTCTTCTAAATCTGTGCTTCAAGTTTTTTGCAATATAGGCTGCCAAGTACTGACAAGTTTTTTTTATCGAAGGAAGAATGGTACGCCCAACCAGGAAAAGATTGAAAGATGAGAATGGCAAAACATATTAGAAAAAGAAGCAAATTATACAAATATAAACGCACTCGGAACTTATTAACATAATTTTCATTTCAGAAAAAAACTACAAAACACTAGTGTAATAACAACAAGATCTAGACATGATGTCGTCCAATATCATCAAATCTCATCAAAAACAGCAGTAGTCTAATAACATTTATTATGCCTTACCTTCTTTATGATATATATGTCAACTTTCGACTTTTGTGAAGTCGGTACGGAATGATTTGTCATGATAACAATGATAAGATCATTTATTTATAAGCGAGCAAAACATAACCGCAAGTAAAAACCTCACATCGAACGTTAGGTTTTTTTAACCAAAGCAAGTTGAAGTTTCGATTCCATGGACACCATCTGACCACACGCACTTCAAGTTCCTGTCTATTTGGTATCATGTGATCTGTATATACCACTGATATGATTATCTGTTTCTCGGGATGCAAAGATTAGTGGGCAGTTTAAGTATAGACATCAATTACAGCGATTTACAATATGCTAGCATGGAGTATGTTATTTCATTATCTGGAAGCACCTTACATAATGTAAGGCTCAGGTTATTTTTATTGGAATGAGTATTGACGCCGAAGACTGAGTCACTTTCTCTGCTTAAGGCAAAACAGAAAAAAGATTTGTACGTGATTTCATGTATTAAACTATTGAGGAGGATATAAAGAAGATAATCATTATATTATTGCCGTGAAAGACAAAGCTGATTAAACTCTTCTAATAGACCTATCCCGAATTCGCTTGACTGACCACGAAACAATGGTTTGAAGTCGAGATTGAACTTGATTCTTTTATTCATCAAGTTCAATCTCGACTTCAAACCATTGTCTCGTGGTCAGTTAAGTGAATTCGGGATAGGTCTATTCTTTAGAAAATGACTGTCAATCATGTGTTTGATCGACTGCTGCCTTGTGTGGCCCGAACCTTATATCTAAAAATATCTACCATAATTTTTCACAGTATACAATTTACTTATTCCTTATAATTGACTTCATCCACCGACGCAATCTGCTCGAACTAGTCATTATTTTGCTTAATAGTTTACTTTGTACTGAATACAGTCATGGCCAACGTGTTCAGTAACCGGCGGACCGCGCAAGCGTCCATAATCAGTGGCGGACTACCGATGACAACCGATGAAATTCAGAATAACATTAATCCGTATGCGTCTGTCTAGCTACAATTCAACAAATGACGTCACTATTACATGCGATGTGTATATTGCATGTTATATACGAGGGCTATATATGAGGGCTCAAGCCTACGCGACTGGACCGAAAGGAATATGGGTAAAAATCACTGAAGCGGTTAAATATTTGTTCTGAATTAATTGTTCCCGCTAGAAATAAGATAATAATGGCGAGAAACAATCCATCAAACGCTTGTCTTCGGTTTAGGGAAAGAAAAACAAAGTAGTTATGATTCAGTTCACAATTTCGAAAGTATGAAGGCATTTAAAAAACGTCTCCTTCAACACTTCCCGCTCGCCTACGAAGGTTCGTGCTGTAAACAAGGCCTAACTAGACAGATAAAATTATGGAGTCAACTCGGCTTCAATGATTGCTACCCAGAGTTCCTTTCGGTCCAGTCGCGTAGACTTGAGTTGGTTGACGACAACACTTTTTGAATTGACTGTATATGGGGGCTCGCGAGAATTGGGCAACCACTCCCCGCATTATGGAAGTAAAATCAATTACCTTTACCTTATACCTTTTAATCAAAGGTTGGTCAAGAACCAACTTATTAAACTGGGGGATAAAATGACGTGAGTCTTAATTAAAATCAAACAATATTTTTAACTCATGCACGACACACAAATCTATGGATAAAAATAGGCAATCCGAACGACCGCGCGCATGGAATTGGAAATATCAAGTGTGATGTAGCGACAGCCCTGCGTGCTCTCGTCAATTACCTCGGTCTTTGGTCTCAGATCCAACTCTTGGACTCGACACAAGATATCGTTCTTATCGTTTCAATCTTTCTTCTACTGTCGTCCCGACCCTCCACAAAGCCTAGTGAACTATATTCCAATTACAAAGTGAGTTAGCCGTACCGTGAGTCATATTTCAGCCCAGACGCTGTTTCAAGGTTTCAAAAAATTGATTAACACTATTCAATTTTTACCATGGACAATGCAATGCTCGTCTAGAACTTTCTTTCATTTCATTCTAGATCTTTTGGGAATTTATCTTAGAGACAATGAAGTCCAAATGGACCATTTTAAGTATCGTCGATTGATCTAAGACAAGAACTACCAAAAATAGCACACACCTGTCTGCACACCTGGTAAACCACATCCGTAACTACCATGCTCAATATTTGTGTGTGTTGAATACCTGTGAAAAACAAATTACTTGAGTAAACTGTGAGTTCCAAACTGAACTTGTCGATATGCATTTCTGAATGAATAAGGCAAAAACGCATAAGCTAACGATGCGCTGAAGAAACGCACGACATCGAATGCAACTCTTTCCATCCAGGCAGCTATTGCGTGCAAAATATTGCCAAACTAGCGAGATATCAAGACATTCTCCCTCACTCGCTCAAGTAAATTGTTTTATAAAATAACTATTACGAATCTCGTATTCTGGTTGGTTGGGAGCGTGTGCTTGATGAGAGCACAAAGCGCGCGCGCGCACTTTTTCATTCGCATCGAAAATAACAGTTATTGCAATTTGTATTATTATCATTATTATTATTATTATTATTATTATTATTATTATTATTGGGGCGCACAGGGGCAAATAAAGCTTTGTTACAGTAATGACGTCGATTGATATTAACAGCTCAGCGCAAGGTAAGAAAAAGTAAGACCTTGAAATATATACAAACTCTATATATTTTCCTTCATCTTTGTTTTGTTTTGCCCCTGGCGAGATGGCCGCCGTATCGTCGAAGTCGGCCCAATGTTACGGCAATCGGATTTGACAGAAGAAGCCAAGGTTGTACATGTATACATAATATTGGTCCTTAACTGCAGGCATAATCATTTATCGTTCAAGTTACTGATTTTCTCCGTCGTTTTGACTGGCCGAAATAACTGCAAATAACTCACTACCTGAATAATATTCTGCTCAGTCATGCGCATAATGATGCAAAGCCGTTTTGGTTCAAATAATAGTCTACTCATGCGCAGTAGCGCTGCATTTGTCAACATGGCTCGCTTTCCTGTGACTTGGTATGTTTAAGAAAACAACCAAAGCACAAAAAGAAAACGGTAAAAAAATGATTTCATGAAATGACTTCGGCAAATAATTGCTCGCTTGCCACTAACCGAATCACTATATTTTGCTCAAGTGAATTGCTTATATATATTGCTTTGATTCAGTGATCATGTCATGATCAATTGGTTAGTTGAATAGTTACTGTGTCAAATTCCAAACTAGCAAAATAAAACTATCAAACTATAATTATCCTCAATATCTTAGAATTTGCATGATTAACACTGTCCATCAAATATATTGCGTTCCTGTACTCTTTAGATTCCTGCAGTCCGTGTAGTATCACTCGGAACAAAGTAACTGGCTAGTTCGATGAAAAAGCGGCAGCATCATTTTCTGAATTCTGAGCGAGAAATTCGATGGAAGTCGTAATTTTGCTGGTGTATAACAGTTGTACAAGCCCGTGAACAAGGGATTAAAAGATTTCAAAGTGAATTATTATAAGGACAAAGCGAGGACAAGTCGTTAAATGTCCCGAGAGATTCAAATAATTTATTACTGAAGTATTTAAGGACAAGTTAATTTATGCAAGTTGGTCAGTTACCAAGAAGCGCGATGAAAGCAAACAAGTTAAAGAAATAAAATTTTAACTGACTCGAAGAAACGTTTCAAGTTATGACTTTATGGGCTCGCACAACAGTTTTCACTTGATGTACAACTGTACAACTTGGCTTGTTTTCCTATGGCAAACTTTGCATATCTTTATTAATTCAGTAGAGCGTTTAATACCAAGAGTTTTGCTTGAAACCGAAGACAATAGAAAAGTGTTTAGACGCACAACAATTTAATTCAAAGTCAATAAATAGAGAACAATAAGATTAATTCTTAATATCCTAGGGCAAAAGCAAATAAATGTCCACAGTACCAAGATACTCAGTTTATTTGAATATCTTAAAAACAGTTTCAAATCTTCTCGAAAGTAATGACCTAAATTTTCAAATTCCATTGAAAAATACTTTTATTTTTCTCGAAAGTACCAAGATTTTAGTTTCTAATTTTATTTTAATCATTTTTCATTGTTGTATCTTTATTTTTGTGAATTTGCTTTGATAAGACTGTTTTATTTGCATTTGTTCCGGACCGTTCAGACGAATTTTAAATCTCTTAAATTTTCAAATTCCATTGAAAAATACTTTTTCTTAATCAATATAAATTTTAATTTTCATATATTCTCTCCAAAGTACCATTACTTTACCGTTAAGTACCGTYATTCTATCCGGCTCTATTTTCGTAAAGTTGCTTTGACAAATCTTTGTTTTGTTTGCATTGTTCAGTTTGCGTTGTTGAGTTTAATAGCTCAAAAGTTAAAAAAACCTTAAGATCTTATTCAATGTCAAGTTCATTTGATTTAAGCTCATTTTTGACAGCGGTAACTGTGCGCGCGTCAAAGCGAGCAAGAAAACTTTACTTCCACGCGAGCTGAAATAATACATGTAAATGAACTCTCAATTTCGCCATTTTTTTTGTCCAACTTCTTCTTACACTGGATCGAAGGACTATTTGAAACAACTGATAGAAAATATTTTTTCAGGCAATTAAAAATAACTATCTTTGTTTGAGATTCCATCGCAGTTAGAACACAGGTTTTTATTCTTCCAGCAGAGATTTTTATATTCTTTGATTCTTTATGCAAAACTTCGTCCACTGTTCTTCGGCTGAGTGATTTTCCCTCACAGTTGTGCAGAAGTATTAACCAATCAAACGTAGTGTTTTGTATCACGTGACTCTTCGACATTGACAGTAATTCTTATGCAAACACTTGGACAAAAATTGTAAATCGTTTGAAAAAGTTTGCAAGAAAAGCAAGGAGTGTGACATTTGGACCACACGTAGTTCCTCGAAGTATAAATTTTTATGTCTTGACTTCAAACATTTGAAAGATCTACGAGTTTTGGTCCTTGTTTATTATATACAAATTGGTTCGAAATTCAAGTCATAAATGGTCCATTAGCCTATTGTGGATACTAGTCAACAACTTGAAAAGGAACAGTACTGTATACGTTTGGACTGTCAGAACTACCGATCGAATACCTCTATGATCCACCGTTAAATCTAGGAATTTTTAAATGCACATGGATCTAACGGAGAGAGAGCAAAAGTTAGGATATAAGCAAGAATCAAGAGGAGAAAGTGTGTCTACGACTTACAATCCGAGTCATTAAGGATCGTTGTCAACAAACCAGGATTTAAAACTCTGAATAGTATGATGAGGTTGGGGTTAGGAATTCTTCATGTCGTCTTTCTTACGCGGATAGCCACCAATGCAGGTATGTTTTCGTCTATAAATTTGGTAAATTTTATGTTGTTAGTAGCCTAGTTAGGAATCTAACTTAGCGTGACTCGCTTACTACAAAACGAAAAATAATTCATTTGACTGACGCATCGATTTGACCCCATTTAGATTTTATAACTTTCTTATCCCGAAAAAAACGGTGGATTTTGTCAATGATATGATAGGCAGATTTTAAGAAGTTATTAAAGTTGTGATTGATTATTTCCTCGACGGAAGAGTTTGTTTTGTTTACTTCAGTTTGAAAATAGCCTATGTTCACAGTCTAGACGTCGTAACCTAATGTATTTATCGTCAGCATGAATCAAAATATTTAAACCTTAATCCAGACCTTCCTAAATGTATGAATATTCCTTTTATAATGTATAAAAGTTTGTGCTCAATGAAGAACATAGATATGTTTTGGCGCCGAAAAATTGGGACAAGAAAGCCATTTCAGTGCGTACGCGCGGTTGGTTGGCCGGATATATGATGAGAGCAACTGCTGTCCCACGGTGTAACGGCTTTCCTATAAAACTGTTATCACAGTCTAGAGAAACTAGGATTTAGATGAGGACATGTACATCTCATAGATTCTTCTTTTGTATTATCGTAATCGTGTTAATTCATATTTCTCTATAAACAAAGACAAATTGACACCTTTCCTCAATGTCCATGTTCACTGTCAGTTCTCGAACACTGACGGTTTCTTTGAAATATTTTATATCTATTTTATTTGAATGGAGTACACAAATACGTACGCAAAGGTCCCTGGTAAAGAGGAATGTTCTAATGTGGCGTGGCTTGAAAAAATCAGAGCCTCATTTCTTGTAAAGATATGCTATAAAACAAATGTTATTCGAGCCTTTGATTTTCACTCATCTCGACCCTTGTGGCGGAATCAAGTTTCATGAATGAAAATTACAATAATCTTTGTGTTCTTACAAAAATAATTTATCTTTTTTCTCCGCTTTTYATTTCATTCCATTTTTTTTACAAAGTTCGTGCCAGAATTAACGCGGGATAAATAGTTTATTGATGAGTAAGTCATGGTCCGGAACAACCAGCCACATGTAGCTATAGTCACAAACACTATGAGTCACTTCTTAATATTGATTTTGAACGCATAATGTAAAGTAGGGTGTTGTCTCTTTCATCTCGTGAACAGAAATAAACATAATCCATTTATTAAAAAAATAATTGCATTTCCCTATTATCGTGTTTTTATGCACATGGATTGGCAAGGAAAAATTGATTGTGTATAATTGCACATGTAGATAACCATCAATATATATACTTTTCATATCAGCAGCTAGAAATTAAAAACGTAAAATTTACTCTATCTTTTGATATCATCTGAAATATGATATATGTCTGGAAACATAAAACGATCTAGCTCTCTGGTCGCTCTTCAGTCTAGCCTGAGAAACAGTTAGTAACATGTGCTTCAAGTGAGCAACAGTTTATTATTACTAGTGATCAATTAAAACAGTTTCATCAATGGTTTGTTGTGTGATTTGATATTGTGGCTAGTGGTTTATTGTTCTTGGATAATTATCAACCAGCTCTGAACACGTGGTAACTTTGAAGGGATCATAGCACTTAACATTGCCTACTCACTTTTATGCTCTCATTAAATTATATTTATAGAAAAAAATAATCCTGGAAACTTCTTGATGAGTGTCACGATACTTACATATAATATTTTTAGTTATTATCTATGCATTAAAAATTATGTGTATTTGAGATTATGGATGCATATACACGTAGTATTATGTCATTGTTTCCTCACGTGGAAGGCCCCAAGGTGTAATAATATAATACTCACTATCTTCCCATGCTGGGAAACATATGCCTCTTTACACTGTATCCACGTATAGCAATTTTGACTTCCATAGAAAAGATTTGTAGCTCTATTAGTAATCAATTGTAGGTATTATCCTAATGTGTTGGCTATTTGTGGGAACTTTTTTGAAAAATCTAATTAAAAATGTGCATAATTGGATATGCAGCCAACATAAGGGTGTGAATTATTTTTGCATATCAAACATTGAGTGTCGTATTTCCCTGTGTCTGTCATCTGCGAGGCAGACCCACAAGTCAGCATCATCCCTGTATCCTTCTTTTTTTCTTCTTCAAAAATGTTCATGTCGAATTCGTTATAAAATGATGGCCTTTTTGTTTGCCGCTTTTTTGCACAATCCAAATATGGAATTGATCATACCATATATGGAGTGAGCTTTCTCTACTCCAACTTCAACACTAACATATAGAGTAAAGCTTGATATGACTTTCAAAGTCATCGATTATAATTATTTGAGACATTTGTCTATAATCCTTTAATTTGTAATCTAATGGAATGAGAACAATTCTGGGGTTTTGTAATCATTACACAATTCTTTTTAAATATAATTTCATTTGAAAGCCTTTTCAATATTTTCTATTTAATTAGCTTTAATTGTTTACGACTCGTTAGTACTTAACTTCATTTTATTATATATGCATCACACACTCAATGCAGATGTTATGTAATTATATACTACCAGTGTGTATCCAATTTATGGAACTTGCTCATAATTAATTATAGCGTTCACTTTTATTCATTAACATCTTTTCAGTCCACTAAACCCTTTCCCTCAAATGTATAATTTTCTGTTGCCCTGCCCAAAACTGCTTGATATTGAGAAGTAAAAAATCCACTCTTTTACATTAATGTTAATAATTTTGATGGTAATTGTTTTCTACAGATAAACCTCCATCATTTCATTTAAGTAATAGCTTACCAGCAGATAGTATTGGAGTAATAGCAGAGGGAAATACAGTAACATTTTCATGCAAAGCAGATGGCAATGGTCAATATACATATTCTTATATTGCTACTAATTTAAATGGAAGCCCAAGAAACCTTAACCTTGATTCAAGATATTCAATACATCAAGATGGCCGGCTGGTGATTACTAATGCCAGTCATGCAAAGGATGATGGGTACTATCACTGTGTGGCAAGGAATAATTATGGAGCTGCTGTATCAAGAAAAGCTAAGCTTCGCATTGCTTGTAAGTATAAAAGCTCACCAGTACAAATAAGCTGGCATTTATAACCATCATATCCAAATTATCGAGCAGCCTCCCTTCCCCCATAAATAATGACTGTTCCCTAAAATGTACAGGTCCTTCGCGTGGCTTCTTTACTCCTCAACAATATGTTTTCCACTAACATTTTAACGTTGTTTTTTTTGTATTGACATTAAGATCTCACCATTCCAAGTAATTCTGCAAACCTTATAACTAGAACAGTTAACATGTATGACAGCTTCAAGTTTACCCACTCCTTGACAGACACCTTCCCAGACTACCCAAACACAACCTACACTTGGAAAAAAGGTGGTACCATCATTTCAGAGGATAATCGCATCAGCATTTCACAGGCTGGCAATTTGTACATTGCATACCTTCAGTTAAGTGATCCCGCAATTTATACTTCTGATGTTAAAAATACGGTGACATCAACAAAGTACAGCAGGCCAAATATTGAACTGAACTTGAATCGTAAGTTCATTGTCTAGATAAGTAAAGTGTGTTTTAACAATTACGCTTATGCAGTAGATTATTCAGGAGTCGTTGTATTGCTATGTGGAAAAGGTTTGGGGAGGGGATCGAGGGTAGGATGATTTGTTAAAGTTATTGAGAATTACATTCTCACCCGGCCATGAGAAATTCTGCTTCCAGTAAATCAATGTATGACATAGGAATATAATGAATTATATGTCGTATGTGTGTGTGTGTGTGTGTTTTAGATGATAAAGGAAAGGTAAAACGTTCTTGTAATTGGAGCATAACAGCTGCAATGTTTCAACTATAACTTTACCAAACACTTATCCTTTTATAAACATCCTTTGGGTTTGTGTTCATTTTGTTTTTGCTATTTTATACAGATGCTAATGAACCATCATCCTTAAAATCCATTATTATGCTGGGTCCTTCCGCTAAAGTTGCTGTACATGGCAAGAAAGAGAGTGTGTTGTTTGAATGCTTCGCGCATGGCAAGTAAGTAATGTATATGTTAGAGCATTTGCACCTAAAATGATAATGGCGAGAAGGATTTGATAAATTATTATATCTTCTGAAAAGAGTTTTTGTGCATTATGAGCATAATTATTTTCCAGACCGGTAATTATTTTCCAGTATCATCTGGGGTGACGGATGGCTGAACGACAATATGCAACAGCCACAACAAAATGCAAAACATGTTAAAACACGTAGTTGAAATGTAAATGAGACAATAAAGTTATTTGCCATCTTAAAGTCGTTCCTGATAGGTTTAAAACTGTGCCCGCGGCCTCCTATCTTGCTCTCCTGGCCGGCAAATAAAACTAGCACTTACCTACCTCTCCCCTTCTTTTCACCATAAACCACGTGACTTGTAATCTTGTAGCATAATATATGACTATCATCATTTTAGACCTCTGCCCACCATAACATGGAAGAAAGACGGCCAAGTGATCTCATCTAGTGATAAATACAGCATACGAGACTACAACAAAAGATTGACGATCAAAGATGTTGTGTCTAGTGACCAGGGCGCTTATTCGTGTCATGTCAGCAACCCTAAAAGTGCTGGAGCTGGCACTAGAAGTGGAAGTCTTACTGTCTATGGTCAGTCAATTGTTTTAGCTTGCTTGAGATAACAAGCTCAGTTCAATGTTGCATCCTCGAGAACCAAGGCGTAACATTCTGTCGCTTGGTTCGCGAGAATGCAAGACTTTTTTGCTCAGAGGTACGTCTTTTTTAATGAAACGAGAAAGGAGCGCGACGACAGAATTTACCACTGCGTTCCCGAGCTAGGATGTCAAAGTTTATCTTATATATTTTCTTATGACTTAAAATTAATTTTTCATTTTTTATCTTCAGTTCTGTAGTTTTTCTTTTAACACGACTCTGAAAATTTATAATTTGCATATACAGAGCGTAATATCTAGTAAGCACGCGTTCATTCAAAAACTACAACTTGGAGAGCGAAACGTTCGTCAAAATTTGTCTTTGGAAACCTTACTATAGGAGATTCTAAAAGCTTTTTCGTCTGTTTGTTTACTTTGTGTGTTTATTTTGTTGTGTTTTATTTTACTTTCATGTTGCTTTTTAAGCTTAAATTAGAACTATGTAAGCTTACTTAATGTTTAGAAGAATCAAAAGTAAGTTATATTATAATATTATGTTCAAATTTGTTTCTTTGTAGGGTCTTGTTTTTTCAATTATTTTGAATTTTTTCAACCTTTTTTACCTTACTGTCCAGTCCTTTTGACGCTTTAGTGTTTGTTCTTCAGAAAAAGAGAAAATTGTATCTGTTAGTGCGTTTGCCTCTAAAAAATCTCGCAACAAACGTTAGAAAATATTGAATTTCTTTTCTAAAAGTCATGAAAAATAAGATTCAGCGAAGAACAAGTTGCACTCCGTTGCACTCGCGTTTTCTTACTAATTATGTATGCAAATATTTTGAAAAATGGCGCGAAATTCACTAAATGTGATTTTTTTCGTGGAAAAAAAATTTTAACGAAGTTAATTATTCATCTTATTTACAGTCCCACCAACATTTACTAAAAAAGCGAGCGATGCATCACAAAGAGTTCTAAATTCTATAAAGTTTAGCTGCTCTGCCACAGGGAGCCCACTACCTCAGATTGATTGGTACCACAATGGTGAACTTGTGACAGCAGGAAGTAGTGCTCGTAAAACTATCAGTAACAACGAGTTGACTATAAGCTCTCTTATCGATAACGACCGTGGGGTGGTTCAGTGTGTGGCGTGGAACAGGGCTGGTCACGTGGTAGCATCAGCACAGCTTACTATCAAAGGTAACTGTCAAACTTTTCGGGTCGGGCCAGCTATTCCTTATAGAGTGGTTTTCATAAACCTGTGAAATCAAGTAAACTTAAACTTATTCAACGCTACTAATGCACTCTTATTATTTTGTTTTTGTGTGTGTGTGTGTGTGTGTGTGTGTGGTGGTTTTTTTTTTTTTTTTTTTTTTTTTTTTTTTTTTTTTTTTTTTTTTCGACTATAATAGCCAGATAATATTTATATTATATATTATTATACACTCGATTGCAGAAACGTTGTAGTGTACATTTATATATTTATACAAATATCTAATGAGATGCATAATGCAAAATAACCATTTTCAACGCCTAAAACCCACTGATTTATAATCTGTACAATCTAATAGACAAGAAAAATATTTTTTGACAGTCACTGAATGAAACAAACAATGAATAAAGCGATTTTTCTGTTTTGCATATCATTAAATATACTGAATAAATTAGATATATATATAAATGTATAATACAACGTTTCTGCAATCGAGTGTATATCTTATATATCATTACACTTTTTGAAAATGTAATAATAGTTTTAATGTGTCTTATCTTAAGGTGTTCCTGTTTGGATCGATGCACCGCCTAAAGATCGTACAGCAACGTTAGGAGAGACTATTGAATTGATTTGCCAGGCAAGAGGAACCACCACACCAACCATTACATGGAAAAAAGATGGCACCTTTATCCAGCTCGATGCTCCTGGTTCTCGCTTTCATGTCAAGTCTTCAGGCTCCATTCAGATAACGAATACTCAAAAGTCTGACTCAGGAAAATACACTTGTGTTGCATCAACATCTGAAGGCTCCAAGAATGCTAGTGCTGTTCTGACAATATTAAGTAAGTACCGTCAACCAGCTAGGGTTGATCATGAGTTCGGTAGTTTGTGGGCTAAAAGACCAAACACTGTCTGAGTACTAACGGATAAAAAATATATTTATTTGTTTAAAAAATATTAAAATAATAATAATAATATATCCTCAGAGAGTCATGTCGTTTTCGTTAACATTCTTGTGTGCGTGTGAGCGTACGTTTATTCGATGCGTCGCCGCTGAATTCTTTAAACATAGATTTATTACTTGTAACTGACGTTTGACCTCGTTTACTAGCAAATCATTTGCAGCAATGTAATGCAGAAATCAATGCAGAAATTAAATGGAGTCCATCTTTTTTTTCAATATTCACGGGATTTTAAGTGCATTCGCTATGAGTAGCGTATACTTACAAAGGTTGACCTTCTATCTGTGTAAAGCGCCAAGACGTCCCGATTGTTGTCTCTGTTACCAATGACCGTTAGAAACTGAATGACATGCAAAAAACGGCTAATGATCAAGAAAACAATATTTACTTGTCCTGTTATTCCAGGTAAAACAAGCATCTCAATTCCTTTACCCAGTACCATTTATGCTGTAAAAGGTCAGCCAAAGGTTCTGGCGTTCCAAGTTACGCAAGATCAAGGCGTTGCCGTGTCCTTCTCGTGGACCAAAGATGGTTCGTCGATCATGGACTCTAGATTCCAAATCTTGGCTAATGGGTCGCTTTATATTTCTCGTGTGCAAGACTCAGACGTTGGCACCTACAAATGTGTTGTAACTTCACCTCTTGGCAATGCATCTACAAGTGGAAGAATGGTTGTCCAAGGTTGGTCTATCTTTTTTTTNCTCCGAATCAAAAGCGACACCATTCTTTGGTTTTTATCGACCATATGCTGGCGCCTACGCTACGTTTCAGAGACTGTTTAGGTTTCTACTAAGGACAATGCATCTACAAGGGGAAGAATGGTTTCCAAGTTTTTTTTATTTTTTTTTTTTTTTTTTTTTTTTTTTTGTAGAATTATTTGTACTTTGATCTCCGAATCAAAAGCGACACCATTCTTTGGTTTTTATCGACCATATGCTGGCGCCTACGCTACGTTTCAGAGACTGTTTAGGTTTCTACTAAGGAGCACTGGAGCAAAAGAGCAGTGTTCCCAACTCACGGTTAACCATAGCGTTTGCATACAATCCACCTGCGGAAAAAAACTGCAGTATATTGCTCTTTAGGCAAACAAAGGTTTATAACAAATTCTTACTCAGCCACGATAATTTTGTTTCTCAGAAGCACCATTGAGTCCAACAAGACCTGTCGTGGTCCAGATCCAGACAACCTCGGTTCGACTTTCCTGGCGACCGCCTGGGTACGACGGAAACAGTGCCATTATATCGTATAAAGTTGAAAATATGAAAGAGGGTGACGTGTGGAAGGTTGCCTTGGAAAACATAAATCCGTCCTCGTATGTGACTGCAGTCGTGACAGGTTAGTAGTCAGTTAGATAGCTGATAGGCACCTTGATCCATAATTTCATAGATTTGAGCCAATATTATCAGGCTTTTCACATGAAGCAATATTCCAAAATCATTGTGAGTTTTGTTTGGCGCATCAGACAGTGTGCACAATACATCCGATATTTGCAATCACTGCGCCCATCTTTATCTAATCAATTCTAATCTTATCACGACAGGTCTGTCTCCTAACACTCGATATACCTTCCGTGTACGAGCTGTCAATAGTGTAGGGGTTGGTCTTCCCAGTGATGCTACTGCTTATGTAACTACATACTCTGCACGTAAGTACCTTGATAGTAATTTTTATAACGTTTTAACGAGAGTCGGTTATTCTCCACGATATTAAAAATCCTTACAGTAATATACTCGGCAACTAAAACGCGTTTGCGACTCGATCAAAACCATTTGCTAGCCGATTGACCTATTATACGTGCACCCCAGCTCATTAGGAAAAACTTATTGCAACATTTCACGGAGCTATCAAAGAATGGCGAGCAAGTATCCGATGCTTGTCCAAGTGTCCAACCGCCATCCGGTTAGCTCAGTTGGTAAGAGCGTCGGTCTGTTGTGCGGGAGGTCGTAATTCAAGCCTCGGCCGGACCAACACTCAGGGTCTCAAAATAACTGAGGAGAAGGAGCTGCCTTTGCAAATGATTAGACCTTCAAGTGGCTCGGATGACCACTTTAAATGGCTGTCCCGTCTCTCCACACTTCATCATTACTAACCAATATCGAAGGGACGTAAAAGAACCATTTAGGACGTAAAAAGAAACCCTGGCAGTGACCACCTCTCGTTCTGTATATATATTTTATCCTATATATWTTTTTTTTCAAGTGCGAATGTTAAGTGACCACACTCAGTGCCTAACCACCTCTCGTTCTGTATATATATTTTATCCTATATATTTTTTTTTTCAAGTGCAAATGTTAAGCTATTAAGCTGAATTCTGAAAATAATTATTTAAAAACGTTTTCTGCCATTTTCAGCTCCTTCTCAACCTCCAAATAATGTATATGCTACGTCAGCAAGCACTGAGTCCATTCTTGTTCAGTGGAAGGTATGTTGTTTGGCTTCACTTGTTATTATTTCCTTTTTCGCTTGGAATGTTCAAGTTTTCATTAGAGTTCTTTCTGGCTGACAGCACATGTTGGTCAGTAGTTGTCACCATGCCATTTGAATCAAATAAGGCTCAAAGACATTTATCAGCAGGTTAAAACTGCTCAGGCAGCAAGCAAGTTTCTTTCTTTTTTTTTTTTTTGCTCATAGGCGCCACCAGATGACTCCCATAATGGCCAATTGCAAGGGTATCGAATCGCCTACCGACAGTCCGGTGTGCAAGGCAGCTCTTTTACCATCGTGGATATTACCGACGGTCTTGCTGCCAAAGGCACAATAACTGGATTGCTGAGATGGACTGAATATGAAATAAAAGTACAGGCCTATAATAGTGCTGGATCTGGTCCTTTCAGTCGACCCATTCTTCGTATGACTGGGGAAGGAGGTAAGCACTTAATGAAATAAGAGGGTCAAGTATTGATCCTTGAGGAACACCAAAGGTTATCAATTCAGTACTGCAACGCTGTAGTCAGTGTTACTCAAAGAGTGAACTTGCCCTATTTTATACTATATTTGCTGCTATTGTTATTGTGGTAGAATGATTGAGTTTTATTGTACCCACACAGCTCCTGGAGCTCCTGTTCAGAATCTTAAGATCGTTAGGATCAACCCAAGCTCGGTCGAACTACAATGGAATCCTCCGCCACAGAAACAATGGAACGGAAACCTAAAATATTATAAGGTATGAGTTTCTTTGGAATCCACTCACTCGTATTTCAGCTTTAACTTGCATTTTTCACGTATACGATGATCGTTTAGTCTCAACCCTCATGTGTTTTTTTTTCGCCACCTTTTTTGAAGAAATGCGTGTTAATTTTATTCTTTTCATTCTCTAGCTCCAGGCCTGGGAACCAAGTACTCCAAGAGTGATCACTACACAAACAATCAATCATGACAGTAGCCAATCGGTTCAGCGCGGTACTTTATCAAACTTAAAAGAGTACACTTACTACGAGATTGTTGTTATAGCTGTGAATGGTGCTGGTAATAGTCCTAAAAGTACTAAGCTGTTGGTAAAAACGCAACAAGGATGTGAGTTCATTGAAATATCATTTTTATCGAACAGCCATAACACAGTTCATTCAACAGTACATACATACATGGATTGTTTCAGTTATTCCTCAGCCGTTACTTTGTCAAGTGGGAGTAATYYTCCCCTTGATTACATATTTWTTTWTTTWTTTTTTTTTTTTTTTGTCCCCCAGTACCTGACGCCGTGTCATTTCTTAGCATCTCTGAAGTCTATTCTGATGGATTTCGAGTAAACTGGGGTCGTCCTACTCAAGTGAATGGCTTACTTGTGGCGTACGAAGTGCAGTATTGGCGCAATGACTCCAAATCACTGACTTTCAGAAAGGAGCGCATTAAAAACGATACCATGGCGTATGTGTCTACGGGATTAATCCCGAGAACGTTATATACGGTAAATGTTGCCGCGGAAACTGCAGCTGGTCTGGGAAGTTTTAGATGGTTGAATGTCAGAACCGTGGATT